TAGGTTCTATAAGAATATATGATGTTTTTGTGCCAATTTAACTTAATAAGGAAACCTACGGATAAAAATGGGAAGTAGACCTTGGCAAAACATTTAAAAATTATATTTGGAAAAAATGTCTCTTTTTAACGACATTTGACTCAACCAAAGATACTAAATTAAGATAGTTACTATATTGGATTATAATAGAATCCTTGGCAAAATTCCTTTTTGTTTAAGACTGGAAGGGTTGATAGTAAAATCTGTACATTGTGTCATTATGTAAAAGAAATATTATATATATTTTTGTTAAATATGGTATTATGTCGAGGTTCTGGAAAGAAGTGTTATCTTGGATTAAAACTCGTATTAAACTTATCATTATTCAAGACATTGAACTTTGTCTATTTGGAATAATAAGACAATAAATACACTTTTAATTTTTTGTCGTTTACATATCTACAGAAGGAAAATGCAGAAAAAAAAATGCCATATATTCATTAATTTAAAAATGGGGTTTAAAAATAATATACAAAAGTAACGTATATTGCACTTGAAAAGCAAAATATAACAGCAACGCACGCAACAAATTACGACAACTTACAAGAAACAGTTACAATTCATATTTAAGTCAATTAAGCAATGACTTTAGAACAAATTCGAAGAAATTCTGGTCACTTGTGAAACTTAAAAAAAAGATTAATCCCCATTCACATTTTTTCTTAACAATAATCGATTTGATGCACCCTGTGACATTAGCCAAGCTTTTAATATTTTTTTCAAACAATGTTTTTCCCACACTCTGACTCCGAACCTCAATCATTTCCTAATAATAACTTTTCTGATATCACCATAGATAACCTATTCATTAGGCCTATTCCCGAATCAATCCATAAAATAATAATAAAATTGAAGAACGGGAGCTCACCCGGCCTCGATGGCATCTCAGCCAAATTACTTAAACCAATTGCTGACGTTATTTCTTTTCCTTTAGCTGATTTTTTCAACATGACTCTATCCATGAAAATATCCCATTAGCATGGAAGACCGCTTGCATTACACCTATTTATAAAAACATTGGGGATAGAAGTGACAGAAGAATGTATCGTCCCATTGCACTCACCTCTATCTTCAGCAAGATCATCGAACGTTTAATTTTCAACCACATCTATACTTTTTTTGAATCTAATTCCCTAATTTCTAACAACCAATTTGGATTTCGTAAAGGATACCCATGTCCTAGCCTACTGACCCAAGTTTACCATCATTGGGCCAAGATTCCTGACAACTCCAAGCCACCCGATATCCATTCAATCTTTCTCGACTGGAGCAAAGCTTTTGACCATGTCTGTCACTCTACTTTATTGAAAAAACTTCACAAAATAGGTCTTAACGAGCAGTTGTGGCATTGGGTTAAAAATCTTCTTTCTGGCCGCATTCAGTGTGTTCGTTTTAACGGCAGTATTTCTGATTTTGTTCCTGTATCTTCTGGTGTGCCACAAGGCTCGATTTTGGGACCTCTTTTGTTTATTGTTTATTCAAAAGACCTTAGTTCACAATTATCTCCTGACACTTCTTTGTATCTATACGCAGACGTCACCCTCATCTACAGGCCAATTCATACCCCTCAGGAACAGACTGTGCTACAACAAGACTTGTTAAGCATTGTACAATGGAATGAACAGAACAACATAATCCTAAACACTGACAAATGCAAAGTCATGTGTATAACAAAGCGCAATACCCCATATCCCAGTTACCTTGTTCAGAATTCACCTTTAGATTATGTATCCTCCCACAAATACCTTGGCGTTACTTTTTCTTCCAATCTAAAATGGCACACTCATATCGGAAATATTGTCTCCAAAGACTTCCATACCCTTTATTTTATTAAACGTACTTGTAATCGTCACCCCCTTTCATTAGTTTTGTTCAATTTCCTTGTTAAGCCAATACTTGAATACTCGTCTGTCGTCTGGAACCCCCATCTTCAAATCAACATTACGCATATTGAATCTGTCCAAAGAAACTTTACCCGATTTCTCTTGAATTCTGCTCGCCATGCAACCAATACTGCATATATCAACTATGAAGACCGACCTGCCCGACTTAATCTTACTTCCTTAGAACACAGAAGAATATTTCTTAGTCTCATTTTCATGTATAAAATAATTAATAATAAAATCAAAATCGACTCCCATAGTTATATTTCATTTAATACCCGTAAACCGTACTCAACGCTCTATCTTCCTCATGCCCGATGTAATGCACTTCACAACTCCTTTTTTCACTGTACACCAACCACCTGGAACAATCTCCCTATTTCAATACGTTTGTCTTCTACAATTCAATCGTTTAGAATATCATTATTAAATACAACACCTTCATGAAAGTTCTGCCCAACAATTCATGTTTTAATAACTAACTGAATTCACTTTAAGGCTTTTTTTAAAAGCTTCATTCATTATTACTTTTATTATTGTTATTAATATTTTTTTTTAAATTTTTGTTGTTATTCTTATTGTTATTATATTATTATTTTTTTTAATTTTTTATTTATTTTTTAAATTTTTTTATTTATTTATTAATTTTTTATTTGTTTTTATATAAAAATAATTTTTCTTTTTATTAATATTATTATTATTATTATTGTTATTGTTATAATTGTTGTTGTTATTATTGTTATTATTGTTATTGTTATTGTTATTATTGTTATTGATTTTTGTTGTTTTTCTTCTTGTTCTTCTTCTTGTTCTTCTTGTTCTTCTGGTTTTTCTTGTTGTTCTTGTTCTTGTTCTTCTTGTTGTTCTTGTTCTTCTTGTTGTTCTTGTTCTTGTTCTTCTTGTTCTTGTTCTTGTTGTTCTTGTTGTTCTTGTTCTTCTTGTTGTTCTTCTTGTTCTTTTTCTTCTTCTTTCT